CCACTCGCTCTTCGACGATAATTTTTAGCTAGCTTATATGCTATTAAACTAAATGCCCACCAGGACCATCCAAATAAACATTTTAACCTTAATAATTGGCAAAAACACTATTTTGAGGACAAATGGTCTGACTCCAGTTATAAAACACCTTACGAAGCGAGAATCATTCATTATCCTTCAACCATCTTCCCCCTCAATAATATCTTTTCTTATTGGCGTTACAGAAAAGCTCATTTCTCTACGGACATTTTTAACCAAGTAGCTCATACAGACAATACTTATGAAAAAAGAAATATTACTATTGGCGTTAACAACACTACCTGGGGAACTACTTACAAATATAGGCCTGTACTGATGGTTCTCAAGACCTTGATAACAAAACTGTTGGATGCGCTATAAACATTCCCCAATTAAATTACTCTAAAGGCTTTCGTATCAATGATGGTATATCAATTTTTTTCTGCAGAATTGTTTGCCATTCTTCTTGCATTAGAATGGATTGAAGACTCAAAACCATTACAAGGTTGCATCTTTAGTGATTGTCTTAGTGCTTTGCAGGCAATCGATAAACCTTTCCCTGCAGATAAAATTGTTTGTGATACTCGCCACACCACGATTAATATCGGCAATCAAGGGAACACTCTTCACTTTGAATGGATCCCCGGTCACTGCGGTATACCAGGAAATGAAAAAGCTAATCAGATTGCTAAAAACGCGACCAAGAAAAACAGTATTGATCTTCCCATCCCTTTATCGATTAATTAAGTTAAACACACTCTTAAAGTAAAACTTCAAAATAACTGGAAAAATCAATCCCAAAACATACCAATAATATTTACAATGATGTCTCCTTCTGACTTGTTCCCAAACTGGACAATGAATCGTGCCGAGGAAGTAGCCATACACCGGTTACGATTAGGTACATGCAAGGGTCTTAACCAGTTTTTCATAAGATCGGTAAACACCCAAATGATCTTTGTGATATATGTGGATGTGTTGATAATGTCGAACATTTTCTCCTTACCTGTCGAAAATATGTTACACAAAGACAAATCCTCAAAAATATCTTACCCCGTCTGAAATACACACAAATCTTTCCTAAATTCTTGTGAAAAACAGAACTTTCACCGCATTATTAAATATATTCAGAACTGTAATAGGGCCTATTGATATATAATTCTTCTGATGCACCCTGAGGTTTTGCTTGATATTGCATAAACTCTCGAGAAGGGGCGGTGTAAGTGGTTGGCTGGACATGGTGTCATACTTCTTCACCTGCAGGTGTTGTATGCTTGCAAATCAGCCGAGCGGGGCCCGGGCCCTTAAACTGCACGGGACATGGCCCGACCTCGCAGGACACTTTGACACTATGGTCGAGTTCGGGCGACCTGTTCTCAACACAGGTTTCTTGTTCTCGCGCTCGAACGGTAGGAACACGACTCCAGAACACTGCTCTCGGAACAGGATCAGACACCACCTCCTCGTCAGGGTTTTACAAGAACACACGGAAAAACTCGTGAGATTTTGATTTTTGAACAGCTGCAAACATTGCAAAAAGTAGAGTGATGGCTTACAGAGCCACAGACTATAGGAAATTTTGCAAAAGTAACATTAATTATTCTTCATAACACAGAAATTAATGTTCCTGTTTAAACAGAAAAGAATTCAGCCCGGTTATCCAAACATTAACTCTCGAATAACGTACAGGGACGCCGCCATGTTGCATGTTGCTTGTGACTAACTACCAGCAATAACCGGTTGTACGTTCCCGGCGTTCGAGCGGCCTAGTTTCTCCAACCGAGAGTCCATGGTTCAAATCGGCTGTGCAGGGCTACAATCGTATCTATACGAAACCTCGGAAAGAGCCGATTACGCCACAAACAATCAAAATTTGCTCCCCAAACACGGTAACCCCGACGCTTCTTCGTATACTTTTCATTCGTTTTATTAGTTATGCCGGCTTTCTCCGGTTCGACGAGGTCAGTTCTGTTACGGCATCCGACTGCACTTTCTCAAACGACAGTCTCGTAATTCATTTACCCGGGTCAAAACGGATCAGTTCAGATAAGGCGCTTACGTCACAATTGCCAGAACCCGCAAGCTTACCCGCCCAGTCTCCATTGCTGAAGGTATCTCACTGTTCTTGGGGAATCCAGTGATTCAAAACTACCTCTCGTTCGGAAGCTCAAACTTGTCAGCTGAGGTAGATATAGATAAGAAATTAAGTTTCTTACGCAGGAACGTAGTAAGAAAATGCCGTTTGTTTAAATACCGCAACCATTAACGGGCACAGCGAAAATGTGTGAAAAGTATTGAGCTCTTGGAAGAGTCTATTTGAAAGGGTAATATACAAACTGCCAACACGTCTTCGGTAAGTCTAAACTTATTATGAAGTAAATAGGTAGGTACATATCCATAACTAACTTGCAAATGGAGAATTTGGACTGGTTTAAATTAAAGTTCCTCATGAAACTTTGGAAGTTTACCTCACGTGAATATATCATATCGCTATCATCCCTTAGATAATGGTATGGTCCAATGTCCGTTCCTTCGTAGCTCCGTGCCGAAGCCTTTTTCCCGAACAAATCTCCAATTTCGATTTAGCTTTCTGTTTGTTTTTTTCAATAACAGTAACTCTCATGTCCGTTGTTACCATATCGTTTATTATTTTATGAAGTGTTTATGGTGGGCACTGATGACGTGTAGAGGGTTTTTGAACGATGTGGAGAGCGAACCCAACTTGAATGATTGTGTGGTCGGTCGTGCACGTGTACATACACATGAATACTTTTTTTTTAAGTATGTGTGGTTGCGCAATGAATGTGATGGCTGCAGTCACATCATCTACCGACGAAACATTGTTTATTTGACAAATTCTCAGCGCTGCATTGTTGAAGAGAAAGCACAAGCTAGAAGGTAAATTTGTCAACTTGTACAAAGCGAAACAGTGGGAAAATGCATTTTTGAGGGCCATAATCGGTCTGCAGATCGACCTCGCCTGTACATTGTTCAGGCACTCAGGAATGTCCTGTGACCCGTGGATATTTGCGAGACAAGCTAGTATACATGAGCTGCGCTTCGAGAGTTAAAAATAAACTGCGTTTTCTCGATTTTTCTCAAAGCAGTGATCTCAAAAAATGAAACAACTTTGTGGAATGATACAAAAGTAAATCGAAAACCCCCAAATCGGCAAATTTTGACAAGTTGCAGCAAATGCAAATCCTATATAGCCCAACCCCCAGTTGAAGGATAAAAAACCCCGTTTCCCTGGGATTTACGCCCGTGCTTTTGTATGATGCCATAATAACAGCACAATGGTCAAATGAAGATAATGTACACTCAATAATGCCCAATAAGTAAAAGTAAGATCGGGCAATGAGTACAAACAGAGATCTCCAAGATACAGCCCTTTGGCCCTTGTGACAGTTCATGACAGACAAAGAGAAATCATTGCATCGTTAGCAGATCAGACGCTGGAATGCTGAGAACCTTTCAAAAAATCCTGAAACAAGACAGAGTGTTGGTGGACTGATGTACGAACGTTTGGCATGGCGCTTAAATTATCTTATGATGACGTCAACATTGCCTTGACTACCAATTACACTCTATCTTCGACAAGAGCACGTACTGAAAATTTGCAATAAATCGCTTGGTCAAAATCACCCGGTATTATAGCGCCCCCCAAAAAGGTCAAGTTTAAAAGACGGCCATACGTCCACTATTAGTCTGTTTGCTCTGGTAATCTGTGCAGAAAAAAATATCCAGAATCGAGCTTTCTATTGTACATAGCGCCCCCATCGGTAAACAAGTTCAACAAAAACTGGGATATTTTGTATGCGCATGACATATTCTGAATCGTTGCAGTTTTCAAGGTCATCACCATTTTGCGCATCAAATGTTACCATTTAACATTACATTTTCATAGGTCTAAAATTAGTGGAAACATCTGAAGTTATTACTTGTCTAAGAATAAGTCTATGGGAACTTCAAGCTTTAGTGGAGACAAGGATATTTTTATGCATTGTGTATATTCTGCATTTATTTGTTTAAAAGTCAACACGGAAATTAGTATGTCTTTAAAGGTTAAAAACTACGTCATATTGGAGTCTTTTTCGGTCGATATTCATGTATGACACACTGGCCAGTCTGTCGTCATATGATTCACGCACAGCTCCACAGAGTGAAAAATCGGACTGAAAATAAACTTAACGGTGAAACGAAGTGCGCCCTCCACAAGATCAACGACGCAATGTCTGCTGAGATTTTTCTAACGTAATTTAACTTGAGGGAAAGGCTGATTGCTCTGGCCTAGGTGTTTTTTTTGTTTTTTGTTTTTTTGTTTTTGAGCTAGGTTTTCACTTTCTCTTGGGATAAATGCAGTGGCTTTATAAACATCATTTGTTGCTCAATCCTATTGGCAACAATTGCGATTGTGTTCCCAACTTGGCTTTCTGATATCACGCGTTAGGTCTATAAATCCCATGCACTTTTGCATGACATCGCACGCCGTCTGCCATTACCGCGAACTCCTGCGTCCCTCCCTGACCGAGATCAAGTTTATTTCCCTCCTAAACGTCCTGTCCAGAGAAAACATGTATAACAAATACTCTTAATCATTTTGCACAAGACAATTTTAAGGATATTTGAACTTAATTTCATCCCAGTCGCCTACGAATGACTGCTGTTTTTTCTTGATGGATAGGTCATGCATGACTGATAGACCTTCCCCCTACTTAAAGCCGATTCGTTCAAGGACTTTGTAAGATCCGACTTCTGTGAGTATCGTCCATTTATCACGTAGTATCAAGAAGTTAAATAATTTAAGATAAAAGTCATCCTTTTTCAGACAAGGGTGCGTCACAGACAGCAGGAAGGGGAGGGGATAAGATATAGGCAATTACTGACAAGGGGCCTCCATGTTTGAAGTCCGCCACCGCAGTAGGACCATTTCATACGCTTTTAATGCCAAGATATCAGCGTGTGGGCTATAATTGAATTTGGGGCGCATGCTTAGGTTGACATCTTGTTTTCATTGGTTAACTGTCGTGCGTCAGTGTTGGCGTGTGCGCGTTTCCTACCACTGTCCAAGGTAGAAGTCATCTCGTAGGGTTCATCATAGTCTGCTCAACCACTTTGACTTACATCTCAACACCCAGGCTTCTGTCGTACAGCAAAGAGCACAACCCAATCAAGTCCTTATTTATCTGTCTCGACGGAGCATGAAAACCGAGGTGATTTCATCTTAACTTTCTTGGCTGTCTTGTTACAAAACTCTGCTCTTAAAAGAAGCAAACGGCATCGAGTTTACGCGCCTGCTAGAGTTTCATTCTAAGCTCTGACATCCACTGCGTCGCAATATTTCTGACTCTTTTTACGCGAGTGCCTAAACTGCATTAAGAGTTCCCCCCGAAAGGTAAGAATTTGATTTGAGTTTGCCTGCTCATTACAAATAAATATACATCTATATTAGTCTAGTTTCCAAATTTAAACTTTTTTAATGAAGAGCACAGAATATGAATCTTGTAGATGAGACTGGACAGTTAAAAATTGTCTAAGAATTTGGAAAAGTGTCTTCTTCAATGCATTATAAAGTCAATGTTTTTGAACGCATGTGCGATAGCGAACACGCTCACGAAGACCCATTTGTATCAAGGGTGAGTCCAAACTTTCATGTTCTGATGGTTCGTCCATAAGGGATATTTTTTGGCCGCTGACATTACACAGGCCTTTCGTTATTTCATCTTGAACGGTTGAACAAGAATGCAGTGATATTCAGTATTACAATAAACTTCCCCGATACCCAAAGGGAATTAGAACCGCGAGAGATTTTACTCCGTTGTTCTAGGACATTGTCAGCATATTCGTAAAAGGTGATGTATAGATGGATGGTCAATTACGATTTTCACTCCATTTTGCCCAAGCAGCTTATCTGCGTTGGAAAAAGTAAAATCTGAGTGGCAAATGAAAAGTTGGTTTTAATTTTGGTTTTAATTACAGAATTTGATTATAGGCATGAATAAATCCAAAGATTCGAATTCGTTCCCTTGCTTTTCTTGAGCTCGCGTGCAACCCTATAAACGATGTTAGAATTGTCTTGAGGAAGCTGCTAGATTTATTAATAAATTCACTATTTTCTTTTATATACTACAATTTGAAATGGATTGGAGTTGAAACATTTACTTCTCAGCTATCTCGTTTCGGGTGGGGATTGTATTTTCAGAATTTCTGAGTAGATCAGTTGGTTTTGGTGGTGTAATCGTCAGAGTTTCACTGGTCCATAAAAGTGTCATTAGGATAAATTTCGAAAATCAAAGGGCGGATCTAGAACTAAATTTATCAAAAGGAAGAAAAGTGTATTTCTCTGTATGCGCCATAATGGCCTTTTTGTGGGGATTTATGATAATTTGACACTTTGCACACGCTCGGGTGAGGAAAGGAAGTGATTCATTCTCCTAAAGTCATCTTTCTCTCATCATAAACGAGAAACTGATTAAACTGCTTGGGTCATGAACTCCGTTGCTCCTTCCTCACCCGATCCACATATCTGCCAACTTCTTTCTTTCAACAAATTGGTCAGAACTTTTTTGTAGATTTTGCTGAGACATTTCTATTCGTTATTCGCAGAAAAAAAATGACTGGCTCAAAATTATTCCTTCCACTTATACTTCCTCCAAAACAAAACTTGGTTCACTCAAAGTAATCCTTCAAGATGTGTTCTGGTTGATAAATGATCAAAATGGGGAAAGTGCTGAATACAAGATTTATTCTTTAATTTAGAATATTATTTTATAGCCCAAGTCTCATGACTTGTCAGCAAGTTTACGGAAATTTTAAGGATGTACTCGAAATTTTGTAGATTTAGTTTCCTAATTTAGAGCTACATGAGAATGTTTTTAGAGCACAAGAAATTAACGTGTTCGGGCAATAAACAAATCAAGCTTTACATATGAAGCGGTTTACCAATAGTTCTCACACTAAGGATAAATTTTATGGAAAGACAAAAAGACAAAACTCTGTTGGAATTTTAAATTTTTGTCAGAACTCCACAGCTTCGTGGATTTTAAATCTGAATATACGGTTCTGACGTATAATGAAAGGGCATGAAAATTCAGGCATGCTGCCAAGCGGTAATTGGAGAATGGCTGGAAAGGGAAATATAAAACTTAAATTTAATCTGTCTTCAACTAATTGACAGAGTGGTTAGATTACAGCTGAACGAAAGCCTTATGTAAATCGCCGCTGACTGTTACTGTCTGCGTCTTTTGTATATACGTTACGTTCAAAGAAGTGAATGGGACGGAGTCGAACTTCAATGAAATGGATGATGCGATATCCATCTCAGACAATCCATGACAACGCCCTTGAATCAAACTGATCTCTGGAAAGTCTCAGCCAGGTTAATACCGTTGTGGTTTTAGTGAGACGTAAGAGAGCTCTTGACAGTGAAGGACACTGTATGCAGTGTAACTGATGTGAGATGTTGCTTCCTAATTGCAATCCATGTAACGGATCGGTTAAGGGTAAGATGGTAAGGGGTTTAACCAATGTATCACCGCGACATTGCAAGACTGTCGGTGTACACGGAGAAAGTTTCTACAGTTATGCCGTCCCACGATTTATCTCTGTGGTGCGCAGAGTTAATTAGCAATGAATGAGCGCTAGTGCGTGGTGTTTAACACTGTTTTCGAGTTCTAACAAACAGGGATTAATAAAATAACAGCTTTGCCAAAAGCGACACCAATAGTAAAAGGTCTTTGGTTTTATATTAAGCGTTTGATTAAAAAAGACAAGCAAAAGTAAAAAAAGAAAAAAAAAGGCAACCCCCAACGATTACAATTTAAATAAAAATATTATCAAACACTCTCTTGTTTTTCAGTTTTAGAGCAACTCCTTGGAGATGTGCTTTGATTCGGGGGCATGACGACCGCGTATTGGTATTTTGTTTTGTTCAATTTCAATATGCGTTTGGGAATAACCCCTGTGATTGGAAATCAACCTCATCATGCAAAATCAAATAGAAAACAGTCAGTTTGCATTTTAGCCTCAAAAAACAATATCCGCTTTTTCGTCCTGTATAAAACAGGACGAAAAAGCGGATACTACAACATTCAAGATGGAGATGGCTTCATAGTTTTCATTGATACTCCCACCACAACATACGTGAATACATGTATATGAATTAACGCTTGTAATACATTAAATAATGATATAACCAGTGATGCAAGTTTTCCGATTTTTAAAGTTCAACTTTATTTGGAACGATATTCAGCGCTTTTTCTTCCAACAAAACGGATACTTTACTTCAGGAAATATAGTTTTGGTTAAGGCGATTTTGTACAAATGTGATACCTTTTATAGCAACACGCCTACATGACATATATAGATGAATTGCCAATTTGGTTATTGCTATTCTAATGGAAGTATCCCAATTTGAAAGCTTTTTGGTATTTTCCAACTACACTCTTCCATTAGCGACGTTCCATTCACAGCGTGTAGGCGTAAACGCACGGTAGGACTTGTTTTCCACCCTGGCTTCTCCTGAATTCCGACTTGAAAATGAAACAGTCACTCCAGGTTTATTTTATAAAAAGTGAGAAGCTAGGTGTGACTCGACGGAGGCAGTAACAACAACGTGTACAATTACCTTGTTTTGTATTTACTCGGTGATTTGTGGGAAGAGTGCGGAGTAGAACTTACTTTAGGCCTATGTTTTGTTAGGATGCAATGTTTTCTCCATTTTTCTTTGAAATAGTAATACGTACGGTAAACATGCATGAAATCACAGTTACATTTACTTCACTTAGAATCAGTAAGACGAATCTTGTGAAAACAAACCAGCAACCGATCTCTTCATAGTTTGATGCTAGTGGTAATAGTTTCCTGAAGTGAAAGTTTTAATCAATGATGGACAGAATTGGAGAGAAAATAACGACAGCGTAACGTTTCACTGCATAAAATAAAACACCAAACAACAGGATTGGAACCATGCGCGTATTTCTTATTTTTTTTACTTCTTTATTTTTCATTGTTTGTGTAATTTTTGGATCTATATGTTATTACAATATTACTGAGTTACATGACAGTAACAAGTATTGTACTCCAATGCATATAATTTTCCTAATATTAGCCGACGAAGTTATTGCGTCCCATAAATATTATTTTGAAACCTATTTCGTGGGCATTCCGAAGGAATCTCATTTCTACACATTTTCTTGTGCGTTTCTTTCATTTGCATTAGGAGCTTTTAACCCTCTATGACTTTGATATCATGCTAAATATTGCAAGGCATTGTTTAGGTCACGGTTTGGTCCACGTACAGAAAGGTTATCCAATATAGAGGGTGTCGGAATTACATGACTGCGGCTTGAGACTACACACAACTCTATGGGAAGTGACCACAGCCAGTGTCATAGGCTTCTATGTGATTTCAGGCGCAGCTGAGGTTTTTGGGCATGACCACAAAAACCACAACATGCTGAGGCAACTCTGTATCTTTTTTTTTTACTGAAAGTGAGAAGAAATTGAGTGCGTTTATAATATATTATGTATAATTTATTATATATTTTGTTTCATTTTATACAGGATGTTTAAAAATGTAAACGAGATTAAATAATCTGTTTCTTGAATGTGACATTATTTTTGTAAATGGTCAATGTAATCTGTTTCAGTATGATGTCTTCTTTCATAGGATACCAAAAATCCCCATTTCTGTCACGCATGATCGCGCACAAAGTGGTTTAATGGACCGTTGACCGTGTCAGAAATGGCTTTGCACTAGATGCGTCACAGGTTTGCACAGCGTGAAGCATAATGTATAGTACCAAAATCATTAAATCAAAGACACCCACAGTTAGGGGTTTATTCAGCCTAACACCATGCACTTTCTTTCAATATGCCCCCAACTTCTTTCAACTCAAATTTTTGCCCTTGTTCTCATCGCTTCAAAATAGTTAATATGCAGTTTGGAGATTCTAGCAAACATTACATAATTCGGACAAAACAGCCATCTCTGGACAGTAGGAATTTAACATCAAAGCAGCAATTAGGCGCAAAGCCATTTCTGGCCTGGTCCATTAAACCACTTCATACTCGGTCATCTGTGGCGAAAACTCGGACTTCTTGGTGTCACACGAAAGATGACATCATAAGGAAACAGATGATGGTTACCAGTTGCCAAAAATAATCAGTCATATAACAAAATTGAAACAATGTCATCTTGTCATCTCCCTTTTTTATGACACCCTGTATAACGGGTTTGCCTAATCATCTTTTTCAAGAACTGTTCTTCTAAAGAACCCTGGATTAAAAGCTAAAAGTAGCAACCCCGTGTTCCACTACACATCAAAAGTATACAGCAAGCACATAAATATGGTGCTTACCATAAAAATTAGCGCACCATTTAAAGTAAAAAAC